TATTGTTGCCTTGAATATTTGTATAGGAATATATATTTTGAACTGCCCGTCTGATCTCATCATTTCTTTCACTCAAATCTCAAGGTCCACAAAGCTCAAGGAGCTACTTACTCACTTATGATTGATATACTTCCTCACGTGAAAAGTTCATTAGCTGCAACTCCCGCTTCGCCAATGTGTTGTTTGGAATTTCGGGTTTCGTTTTGCGGTTCGGGTCGTTAGTACTTGGTTTTTTATTTGATATTCTGATATGAATATAACTGTAGTGTTGTTTTGTGTTTTATCACTGAAGCTACTAAGCCGACTGTCATTCTGTTTTAAGCTTCAACGGAAATTAAATTTTTATCCTGGTCTTGTCTAAATACATGTTGATCGTTGAACTATTTCTGTCGTCATAGTTTGTTCAACTCAATAAACCTTCTCACGTAACAGCTTTTCAAATTCAAACATCGTATCACAAGTCAACATGAAGGCGAGGACCATAACGCAAATTAGCCACCCAAATATACTGCAGCGGTCCGATCTTGAGTTAGGTAATCTCTCGTCTCTGACTCTCAACAGTCAGCATGTTTAGAAAAGGTGGGATATTAAAACTGTCAAAATGTTTCTGGAAAGTCGAATTTGTCTCAATAGGAAATTAATTTTGTTTTATCTTATGGCATTGACGTAAAATTCAGACCCGGCATTGTTTTGTTCGTGAAACCCCTGCCCTTCGAACCTACATGACTCGCAGGCGAAAACCGGGTTGATTTTAAATAAGCCTGAAAATGGTTTTGTAAAGTCGAGACCGTATAAAAATTGATATCATTTTTTAATTTCAAAAAATTGAAGTCAAGTCACTCAAAATCAGGATCGGTGATATTAATGCAGTCGATTGTTATACACTGTGAGTCGATCTGATAGTATTTGAATAAACTATGAAAATGAAAGTAGAAGAAAACCAAGCACTTATGAAGAAATCTTGTTTCATGTTTGGTCTACTGCGTCTATTATACCAGTCCCAGTAGTTTTACGTGTTAAGAGCTAACCGTTGTATTTTCAGACTCTTTGACAGATCTGTCCTGTAAATAATTCAGTGATGAAAGTGAAATGGACATTCTGTGTAATGTACAGTTGAGAGTCACGCTGTTCCCTCACAACTCGTTATTATACTTTAATTAATGAAATGATCAGATATAGATTAAAATTCGTAATGTTAAAGAGAGTTTAAGATCTCAAGGGTCTCAGAGAGAAGATGAACATCACAAAGTTGAAAAAAATATTCACGACAACCTTCACAGATAGTGGTATATATTGGTTTGAAAGCAATGCTTAAAAGAAAAACTAGCAAACTACCAATAAAACGAGAGATTGTATTTGTCAAAAGGTTGTTCATTTGCCAAACCTCTAGGCATTTATCTCTCCCAAATTAGCCGTAACCATTTTCGATGAGGAAGATGGCCTATTCAAGGCCACCAGACTTTACTCGATTATCATGAGAGACCGCCGCTATCATTTGGTCGGCACAACCACACATATTCTAACGCTACACCCAATTTCATAAACTTATGCTGATTCACGTTTCCATATCAAATGCATATTATATTCGAGTCATATCGAGGAGAGAGCTTCAGGGAAATTTAAGATATTTCAAATAAAAAAAAGCAAGTACTAACGATCCGAACCGCAAAACGAAACATGAAATCGAAAAAACGTATTGGCGAAACATTAGTAACAGCTAATGAACTTTTCACATGAGGAAATATATCAGTCTTTAAAATTTAATCATAATCATGGCATTCTATAAGTGTATAATAACTGTTGTGTATGATTAATATCATAATCAATGATTATACCACTTTCTCGGCGAAATTATATCGGATCCATCTATCGATATAGAATCTTGCCATATGACAAGTTCTCACAAATCAAGCGTTTGTTGAATAAATATTCGGGATCTCATTGGCCTAAATGGTATATATATTTGTACTGAATGATGGTTTAATGGTAGAAACATTGGATAGCAATCAAAGCAACACATTTGTGCATTACCATGACTTATGCGAATCTGATGTAATTCACCCAGAGCGAATAATAAACCGATTCCATGTCTACCATGTACATTTTAGATCCATTGATACTTATTAATCGAGACAGAGTTTCCCTCATTGCATATTGCATTTCTTGTTCATGTGTCAAAAGATAGAAAGAACAGCCATTTATTACAAGGAAAACAACTTTGGTTTTTACTAGTTGGCCTTTGTCCAGGTCGCTTGACATTGATCTTTCCTGGAATATCGCTTTGTTACAAACTAACGTACAATTGCGGTTCGGCTGACATATACTGCATTTAAGATTGTTTACAATTTCTACAAATCCCTCGGAATAGTTGCAGTAATTGTTTAAAAGTTACAAATAAACACCTGCTATATATTATCGCTTCCCAACTGCTATAACAATTGGGACCTTTATTTCCTAGGGAGAACCAGCAAGATCACATAGCCAGTGAGACTCCAAATTAAATTACAAAACATGAAGCAGTAAGATAGCATAGCCTTTGCGTCTCCACATAAAATTTACTGTACATGTACATAAAGAAGTTGTCAACTAATCCAGGGCCCACTTCATCATGAATAGCCGATTAGTAATTTCAGATATAGTTCTCTTAGATATTAATGTCTATCTTCATCACTCGGTGGTGTTGTAATACCTCAGAATTAAATTTACAACCGTTTTTTCCTGGTAATTGCAAATATAAAATTGTCTTTCGCGATGAAGAAATTGTAGTTTTCGATGTTTATTTATGATATGTCAGTTTTATGGTCGCCGTGGCACAGCGATAAAATGGAAGAAATGTCGTCCCCCGAGACTACAAAGCGATTTATAAAATAAAAGCTCACATCCGTCATTTATCTTGCTAATAAAACAAGTTTATGAGGGTTTAACGACGCTTATAAAGCTACCAATCTATGGCGTCTAAAACTCAAGTACCTCAATAAAGCTAGTATTATCGTTATGGATTTCCTCGTCGAATAAAAGATTAACTTTACACCAAGAGGAAATTAGTCGCTTACATCAATTAATCAGGATCAGGTAGCGATTGTCGTAAAAGAAGCGAGATGTAATTCCCACTAATGGCTTCTGGTGGAGGATGAAATTAGTATGTTTTACAAAGTTTACATCATGATTATCAATTAATCGTTTTAAGTTGTGGTGATCCGATATAAATTTCTGTTTGAAGATAATGTAGGCCACAAGCAAAGGATTATACGAAACACAATTTAAATAAACAATAAAGTATATAGCATAATATCAGGGTTGACGACATTTATAAACACATAAAACAAATATATATACATATATACCATAACGACTAGCTATAGTGAGAGTCACTATAAAGTGAAGAAAAGAACAATTTTAAGTAGATTTTAGAAACGATTCATATATATCGTTTTGACTACAGCATTTAATTCTGGAACGTTAAAAATATAGCGATATTAAAAAGTTGTACATGTTAGTATTAGCCCAAGATATTAAAACCGGCTACTGGCAGTTAATATCAAATATAAGCTATTTAACTCTCGACTCTCTTTTCACAATTTCTAAGTTCATCCACCCATTAATAAGTTATAAACCTGTTATCAACGAGTGAATGTCATTAAAATTGAATAGAAGCAAATATCCTTCTAGGTGTTTAAAGATCTTTTAAATAAAGTGACTGAAAAAGAATATTTTTTATTTTCATCTTAACGTCTACTTTCAATTTCGGGAAAGTAGCCCTGGGTGTATATACGTACCTTCCCCCTCCCCCAACAATGAAGCCCATGGTTTATACTGACATAAAAAAGGGTGGTGTCATTCGGTGTATGATGGGTACATTTCATACTTGTAGGGGTAAATGCCTTGATTGTGTATACGTATAACGTTTGCAGTAGATTATTCAACGATCAATTCGATTGGGTACCTTTAACGATTCCATTAGAAAATCGGATACTGTTGATAATCTGTCTATCGTAGTGTCAGGATCGAAGCCAGAATCTCTAGACTGGTAAGAAATATTTGGACTCACTGAACCATCACAGCGTAATCTTAAACACGCGGAAACTGACTTGTACTTATCCGAATCACATTCTTAAATTAAAGCCATGAAAATCAATAGAAATAGAAAAAAGCCCACATCATATTGCAATGATTTGAAAATTAAATAAGCTGATTTGGCTTCCTGTAAATGCAAGATTTTTCGGACCATTTTTATGCATCAATTATACGAAATAAAACAAGAGACAACCCTCACAATACCTCAAAAAGGTTAATGAACTTTTACCCAAGAGCCTAGACTTTGTATACATAAATAAACCAAGTACAAACCGCAAACGAAACTAAATCTATAACAACATTTTGGCAATACATTGGTAGTAGCAAATAAATTTTTCACACGAGGAAGTACATCAATCTATAAATAAGAAGGTATTTAAAAAAAAAGAGGTACCAGGTGTCTAGAAGAGTAAGCATAGCCTACCTGGTGCAACACCCGCAATTGCTGCTCAACATACACAACAAACACGACAAATAGGGAGGATAGTGACTTCCTAGATTGTTTCATCCAGTCTAATACCACTATGAATAAAACAGTAAAACTGTTATCATCTAATCTCCTTGGTTTCACTAAAAGCCAGTCTCATAATCTCTCGGAGATTTCCGGAATCTTCAAATTGTCATGTGGAAGAATTAGGTCAAACTTGAAGTGAAATTTAGTAGGACACGAAATATACACATTAATACCTAAATAATCTAAATTTGTCCGAAACAAATGATGTATTGTGAAGTGGAAAGAGTAGACTATCTTTCATATCTACGAATTTTTTCAATTGGCCATGACAAGTTTCAAGTAAGTTACAAATACAAGTTCTTGGTATTAGGTGCTGGCTTGATATATCGGAATACTGTCATTCTTTTCTATAATGCACGCTAATCACTACAAAACAACCTTACACTATACACATGTTCATGGAAGTGTTAAAATGGCCGTGAATGCCCAACTTGTTAAAAAGTTCCGTATTCAACCTATAACATGCCCTGGTAAGTGTTAAACTGGCTATGGGAGGTCTCCAATTTAATTACAGTGACGCCTTCCCAGTGTTGGTCTTGCGGATAAAATAATTAGCACAGATGGTATGGTTTTACTGCCCTAGATTTAGAAACCTGATAGACGACTTATTATGTCGGCTAAATTCATAGACTGACCATGTACTGTCAATGTAATTACAATTAAAGTCACCTTGAATTATATCTTGTCCTTATAGCTAGAACCATTGGTATGGCTATTCACTAGCTTCAACAGTGCCGGTTCTTATTATTTTACCATTTATCAATTCTCCCGAAGGAAACCGTGAAACAATTTGAGATTTTGAATCGTTTATCATTTGCTGTAAAATCTATACTCCAACCGAACAGACACAGTACAAAAAATATTCATTAATCTCAGTCCATGTTGCTTAGTTACTCATAAAAGACAATTATTGATGGCATCAATCTTTGCAGTAAACTTTGGCAATTTTCCGATTTGAAGGCGTGTTTAACATTTTGCAATCGAAGCGTGGTTATCGTTTTGTAAAACGTTTATTGCAACCCAACAGAAAAAATTTAGTTTGAAGAAGCGTTTAATCACGTATTACGATTAACTGGATACAAAAACTTCTCAAATTTCAGATTTAAAAAAAATTTAATTTAGCGGAATCCAATAAATTGCACGATGCCTAAAAAAGAGTAACGTTGCAATCTGGCCCAAACAACTGTCAAAGTTTCCAGATTGATTATTTTGGTAAGAAAGTTAACTGTAATGGTCGTGTTAAATTAATCTGATATGTCGTAATCAACTTGATTGAATTTCTAAGGTCTTGACATTTTCAATTATTGGTAAGAGTTGATGTATTTTTTATGAAGTTTTCTGGGAGACCGAACCACGATTAATGGCTTAGAGGACTGTAATACTCTATAATATAATCTCGACAATCTGATGGCAATCAGAGAAGGTTTCAAATTAAATCGATTTTAGCGTCTTGCCTTTTTGCACCCGATTGTTTAATGAAGATGAACAATGTGTGCAGTCAAAGGGATTGTAAAGAGGTTTTCCAAATTTTCACCATTCCGATTTTCAGTCAGGTGCTGTGGTTCCACTAAAACTGAGTGTTTCATGACGTCACTAATCGCGAATTGCCTTATGCGGTAAAGAACATTAATAAAGTCATAAAAAAATTATTTTTGTGGAATTGCAGAAACCACAGACGTCTCACTGAAAATTGGAACGATGCAAATTGATGCTTTTAATGTCCGTGATGAAAGTTAAAAAATTTAGAATACCTCTACACAATCCCTTTTAGAAGATTCTGTACGACAGTGACAATTAATTAAATGGAGTCCTTCCTTTCTGCACTTTATTAGTTAATGATGATTGTTTTTTTTATATTATTTTAAACTGTTTATTATTTACGTCTTCTTTACTGCAGAATACGCAAGCAATAACCCCATGTACTTGTTGAACAAAGATACTCTCATCTCATTTATCTGATAGAACTCCAATGCTTCGATTCCCTACAGAACAAACTATCTCCATTTATTAAAAGTAAAACCTGCAATTGTGTTCCGATAATATTAGATTGACCAATGCGTCGAATAACACAATTGCTTATGATTACACCGTATCAAAGACTTTGACAAACGAAGCACAGTCCGTTGGGACACGACCCACTTCCGTTACGTCTTTTATCCGACGATCGACCTAGATAAGATAGAAATGAGCTCATCTGGTTTATCAAATGGTAAATAGTTATAAATCGCACTAGTGTTTAGAAGAAATGAATATTTTTTCTATCAACCTTGAAAGCTCAGGTGTTCTTTATGTCATAAAAATGAAATTCATGACAAGGAACACGTGTTATATTACCCCAAAACACTTGTTATTTCTTTTGTTCTGAACTATGTTAAAGCAAAATATTTCAGATTCTGCACTTTCAATTTTCCTCTGAATGCACAACTAAAACAGGTGCACCTGTATATAAATTATGATCAGATATTATTACATTATTAACTATTATATTTACCGAGGCCCTGATTCTATTAATAAACGTTTCATCAACTGACGTGGAGACCACCATTTTGTAATTTGTTTCTTTCCTTAACGAAGTCAAAACCATTTTGATGAACCGTTCAGTATTAATGGGTATTCCGCTTTTTGTAAAAAGTTTTCATTATCAAAAACATCGTAAAATTGAATATACCTGAAAATATTTCTAAAGTATGTTATTTATATCTATGTATCTTCTTGATCAATCTGAATATGTTTTAAAAGTGTTAATTTATTACGGAGACTACTAATTGTTAATTAAGCAGTTTGACCTAGTTTTGATGTTTGGCATTATCATGGCTATCACATTTAAAGGTTTAGAAATGGGTTTGTTGGAACATTGAAGCCTTTATCCAAATTCGACTTATTAAGTGGAGGAAGAGATTTAAAAATGGTTGTGAACTACGTTTATGTGTGTTATTTCTATTTAAGAACCAAACGTTATAGTTTCGTATGGGTGGTATTGTGATCTTACCGTCAAGCCTCCTATGATTGGTTATTTCAGATTGTTTTCCTCATTGGAAACAATAATTTGGTGATACAATTACAGATAGATGTGCCTTAATGATATTAATCTCTAGCAGTATATATAGAATTAATGATAATAATAAAAAAACACGTGGAGCATCATATTATATATTTTAGAATGATTAGATGTTACAGGAAACGTTGAATTGTATCATGTACAATAGCAATAAAACTTAATTACAGAGATTTCACACGATGCAAGAGAGTTAAAATAGCAACTAAATAAATTAAGATAAATTGAATACATACATACTGTTACTTTATGTTTTACTTTATGACAAAAATCAATTGAACTTCCCTTGTGTTCAGCTGTATATTATTTAAAAACATTTTCATTAAAAGTTTTGTCTAAAGTAATCTTTAAGCCCCGCGCTCAGTTATGCGCTTTGATAATCCTACTTTCTCAAGCGTTTTGCTATCTTTACAGTTACCTATTGAATGACACAAAACGCTACAAAAATATTCGACACGTTTGTTTATCGAACACAGTGTAGATTCGCCAAGATTCGAAATACTTATCAAAGCGGCTAGTTCCGTAGACAAACTATTCAAACGATGAGCCGGTATTTTCCTGTATAATTAAATATATTTTATCCATAAAAACATGTGAGATGCCAACGTGTTCCCGAAGGATTTCAACAAGTTTCCGTGTGCAATACATGCCCAATAAGCTGATAACTAATATAATATGTGAGATTGCTCTAAGCTTGTTGTGTTGATATTGTGTTTGGTGGATGCAGTTACCAGCTAAACTATCATTGTAGATTAGGTAGTTGTTGGTAGTCGTGATAATAGGATCGGGATCAATTGGATAATTTGGTACTGTTGGTATTGCTAGTGAAAAAATATTTAGTTCTGGCCAGGTCGAGTTTCATGGCAGTGAAACAAGGTCCTTGGTAGTTTGGTATGAATTACTCGATCGTCTTCAATCTTCTAAAACCTTTTTGATAGTGGACTAATTGTTGTTGCTTATTTGGTTTGGTTTGGTAACATTATTGTAAAATATTGGTCATTATTAGCCATAGGTTTATATAAGAAGCTGTAAAAACACAAACGTCTTGAAATCTTGTCTTATTTTAGCTTAATTAGCTCCCATTGTATTTATAATCGTCTAGTCATAAAATTCATCATAAGCCGATTTAAATTAAGCACCAAACATAGTAGTTTTGTATTTGTTCTGCTGCCACAATGTGTTCAGACGACGCTCTTGAAGTAAAGGTTAACGATATACAAACATCAGGAACCAGTCTCTTAGGTTGCTATTATGATACCGTATACTGATCAGTAAATATCGTTGACCAGTCAGGGGTAGTCAAACTTTTTATGTGTATCGGAGACACTGATATCGTCGATTTGTACCATTCTAATTTTCAACCAGGCGTCTGTGGTTCTTTCAAATCCGCTAAACTAAGCGTACTCCAAGTACCAAAAGACTTTGACCACGTCATAAAACGATTAGTTTTAGTGGAATTGCGAAAAAAAAACTCAATCGAAAATGGAAAGATGCAAATCGATGTTTTCACTGCTCCTGATACACATTAACATAAAAAAGTTTTAGAAAACTTCTTTATTATTCCTTTAAGACTGCTCTATTAGACACGCTATACTATAATCGACATTGACAAGACTGTTATAGAATAATTAATTGTTGAAACCTTTCCCAGTCTATCAATAGTATTGGAAGAGTGACAAGAGACGTTTTGTGGATTCCTCAGTAGAATTTGAATTAAAACAATAACATGTTTTCGTGTTCGCAGTAACTTTAATACTACAATCTGTACAACACCATAGTTTACAGATTCACATTTCGCCAAATCTTTATATAGGAATTGAACAAATACTACCGAGAGTCTTAGATTTTTTCCGGGTTGATGAAAATGTCAACTTTGAAAAATTCTATTTTTGAAAATATGATTTAACAAAGGTGAAATTTCATTCCTATAGGTGAAACAATTTCACAGACAATTGTCTTGAAGGGAAGTGTATTTGTATCAGATTATCAAAACCAAAGTATATTTTCAAAGTCAAATTCATACAATTGAAATCTTAATTTAAATAGTAGTTAAAGACGTAAAAAATTCAACTCTGAGTTCAGTTTGTTCGGGAATAACGAGTAGTAAGCCTAAACATCCCTATATCCTATATTATGGTTAAGTTGACTGTTGATGAAGCTGATAATTACAATGTTAATCACTTTGATTGTATCGTCTACCTTCTAATGATGGACATGGTCAACATGAAATTGAGATACTTCATGAAAATTGTTTTCTATATCAGACCATTCCATTGGCGATTATGCGAAAACGGGTAAACGAATTCTATCAAAATCATGGCTAATGACCTTACTAGTGGACGAGAATGTCTCTGAAGTCATTCTTGGGTTGGTATAAAAGCCAAACCGACCAGCCATATTTCACAACTACCAATT